CTAGCTTAATATTAAGCTAGCAGAACCATACGTCAAAATGAATAAAAATGAAAAAATTAATGTGGATACATTTAGTGCTGAATTTGTACTAATTTGTACCGCCAAAAGAAATTTTGTACCTGTTACCGTTTACGAAAGAATCGTGGCGCTACTAGCTTAATATTAATATTACGATTTTCTTGAAAACGGTAACAGGCACAAAATTTCTTTTGGTGGCACAAATTAGTACAAATTCAGTACTAAATGACTCGATTTGATTTTTGATTTGATTTTTTCACTTATATTAATTTTTAACATTTTCAGCGACTAGCTTAACGTTAAACTAGCAGCGCCACGATTTTCTTGAGAACGGTAACAGGTACAACATTTCTTTTGATGGTACAAATTAGTACAAATTCAGTACTAAATGACTCGATTTGATTTTTTCACTTATATTAATTTTTAACATTTTCAGCGACTAGCTTAACGTTAAACTAGCAGTGCCACGATTTTCTTGAGAACGGTAACAGGCACAACATTTCTTTTGATGGTACAAATTAGTACAAATTCAGTATTAAATTTAATTTTTTCATTTTTATTCATTTGGACGTGTGGTCCTGCTTGATATTAAGCTAGCAGCGCAACGATTTTGTTGAAAACGGCACGAGGTACAAAATTACTGTTGGTGGTACAAAATAGTACAAAATAAGTATTAAATATTCCGCTATGTTCGATACGATTCTGCTGATTTTGTCCTGCCAGCTTAAGAGAGGTTTCTTTTGTATAAGTGCAATGGTGGATGTATGTTCGATAGTTGCATTAATCTTTTAAATAGAAATGCATATGTTATTTTACGTAGATCGATACCTTTCGTCATTCTCCGTAAGATAGTATTAGGGCAAAGTGGCAAGAAGATGATTAGTTAACGAGATATTTTAGACAATAGTCTGTAATGAAAAAAAATGCTTCAAAGGTTCTACTGTATTCGGATACACGGTCTTCCTCGCCTCGCGAGGAGAGAAAAGGGGCTCGATCGATCCTCTCGCTACGCCGGCCAACGCCAGACACGAAACGCCTACTCTTTTCCTCCGTCCGATTTCGTTCAGCGCTAACCTCTTCAGTTATTTCCCTGGAGCTTCGACCTGCCGATATAGGTGCGAGCATAGTCACCGGTCAGAAGTGACGCGAAGCGGGCCGTGGGAGTAGGGAGGAGGGACAAGGCCTCAATCACGAGGGCAAATAGTACGAGAGGGACGCGGAATCAGCAACAGCTGGCTATTTAGTCGCTCGCTCGGGTTAGTTCTCGAAGATCCACCGTTGTTAATTCAACAAATTAATATCTTCGGAGCTGGTCGAAGGCAGAATACCTGTTACGTAAACGTGATTTACACTTGCGACGAATAACTCGTAACGTGGGTCTCTCGTTTCGATCTCTTTTTGGGGGGAGGAGGGACTATCTCCTGAACTGTAGATGCTTCGAAAAGATGTTTGTGATAGAACCTGCACTGTTTTTAGGGGAGAGATACAGTGGCGTGCAAAAATTCCCGACCAGATGGTTTTTGCGATTTTTCTTCCAAAATGAAAGTATTGAAAAAGTTTTGTTAGATCTAAATTCAATCTAAATTTAATCTGTCCGGCAGCGACGGAAGAAAATATGTACGACGTTTAGTTGGGAAAAGAAACGATCCAAGGTATCAAACACCAACTGTTAAACATGGTGGAGGAAGCATCATATGGGGAGGTTTCTCCGCTCAAGGAGTTGGTCCTCTTATAAAAATTGAGGGTATCATGAATAGTGTGATGTACAAAGAGATTTTAGAAAGTCGTGTGCTACCATATGGTAAAAGGAAAATGCCAGAAAATTGGTTTTTCCAACATGATAACGACCCCAGACATACATCGAAAATCGTAAGAAGGTGGTTGTCTAGAAATAAAGTACACGTTTTAGACTGGCCTTCTCAATCTGCGGATTTAAATCCGATAGAGCATCGCTGGGGAGAGATGAAACGTCGAATGAAAAATCATAGAAGTTCTAATCAGACACAATTTGTTCAGAATTTAATAGAACAGTGGAACAAAATACCACGCGATTACATTATTCGGTTAATTGAATCCATTACTTGTCGCTGTGCTGCTGTTATTGCTTCAAAAGGCATGGCTACGAAATATTGATTATAATATGTTAAATAATGTACCCCGAAATTGTTACGAAATGAAAACCAAGCATATATTTTTTGTTAAACACGCTGGCCGGGAACTTTTGAACACGTTAATTTACATATTTTACAAATAAAGACGTAGGAAAAATAAATAGCGGTGATTTTTTTTTCTTTTTTTTTAAGTATCCTTTCACGTAACGTGGCTTTACATATGATTCTAATAAAAATGTCTTAACACTTTTCTTTTGGAAGAAAAATCGCAAAAACCATCTGGCCGGGAACTTTTGAACGCCACTGTATATCGTGGTGATAAATTTCTAGGTGGACGTAATTCTAAGGTGACCATTAATTTTTTTTTTTTTATAAAACTACATGTTTTCCTAGGGAATGGCATTTATATCGAGAGTCTGTTTAACGAATTCTTTTTAGTAATATGATATCTATGGTATTTTTGCGCTGTACCGTGTACCTAAAATGACGAGACAATCACGGCAAATGTAACTCAAAAATGTTCTTTCTTCCAAAATTAAATCCTTCTATAAAGAACAAAACAAGTGACAGTACGCGTATCAAAACATTGCTGTATGACGTAAAGAATAGATGAATCCAATGATTTCTTAGTTACGTACATTTAACCCAGTTTCTTAATTATTTTAGGTATACATAGAATATAGTACAAATGCATCATACGCGTGGCAACGTCTTTCAGTGATGGATATCAGGCTTCGAGGCCAACTATGACGCAAGATCTACTTCTCGTCACAAATTAACAAACGGTCCAGAAACGGTTTGTCAAAATGGCGGAAAGCAAGCCCGTGCAAACGTCAGCAAACGCTGGCAGACGTCAGTTTGCATGGTATCCATTTGCTGAGCTTGTATACTTTCCCGAGGCAATGCAAATGTACACAGATACGTCACTGAGGTTGAACCTCTGGGAAAACACCTGCCATGCTTGAGCAGAATTTGCTTCAATTGTATGGCCAGTCCCGCCGTGGCAAATCTCAAATTAACTCGAAGAAATATCATCAATAAAACTTTTCCGTGTGTTCTACACAATGATCGTGGATGCGACCGATTGGCATGTTTACGCTGGAGAACATGACAAACGTCACCAGCGGATAACGAAAGAGAAAGGAGTTTTTCTGACTCTCCTGTTAGCAAACGTTTTCCAGAGATCCCAGGAAACAACTTGCCGCAATACATTATTCGAACGACCTGCGCTAACACGAAGAATCTCGGTATATCAGACCTGTGACCAGTCGACCTATTCTATCCTCAGACGTTGCACAGACGATTTGTCAGAGAAAGTGTCAGTCAACAGCCACAATTTCCTGGGATTCTTGGACAGCGAGCTTCTCCAGTAAATTGTCCCAATGACCTACGGTGGAGTCTGGACGCGTGAAGCGTACATCTGTCCAGGAATCCCAGTTTGTTTGGCCCGTGACCCGTCCACTCTTCGCCAGAATACGATCTCCTTCCTCGTCTTGACCTGTCCCGTCCTGGGAGAGCGCAAAGACGATTTGTCAGAGAAAGTGTCAGTCAACAGCCACATTTTCCTGGGATCCTTGGACAGCGAGCTTTTCCAGTAAATTGTCCCAATGACCTACGGTGGAGTCTGGACGCGTAAAGCGTACATCTGTCCAGGAATCCCAGTTTGTTTGACCCGCGACCCGTCCACTCTGCGCCAGAATACGATCTCCTTCCTCGTCTTGACCTGTCCCGTCCTGAGAGGGTGCGAAGACAATTTGTCGGCGAAGGTATCAGTCAACAGTTCTGTCGCAACAAAAAAGAGCCAGGAAGGGAAAACCCATAGAAAAAGTAAGACCTCGCTGAAGAGGAAGCTACAATGACCGTCGCGCGTCTTCCTACGCAGAGAAGAGACGTCGCGACTGGCGGAGATCGATAACCCCAAAGTAAACGACGAATCTCCCCTTCCGACGTAGGAACTCCTCCGCAGTCTCGAACGTCAGCTCTGAGGAAAGATGGGGGAAAGCGATTCGCGTTCCTTCTGTCCAGATTACGTTTTCCTACGTTGGATGGAGACCATAGCAATCTAATCTAGCGCGATGCGCGTACACAGACGTCGCGTGAATGGGCCAGCATTGCGAAAGTTTCGTCACGTGGTCATTAGGACAATGACAAAAGCGAATAGGAGCGGATCGTTCGCAATTAGCTCGAGACGAGTATGGAATGGAAGACTCGGTGGATGGGAATTTCGAAACACGGGGACGCTGTTTCGCAGCGAAACGTAGCCTCGTTTCTGGAGCAAGCGTTCTGGGACCACAGATGCTTATTATATGCTGAACCGATGCGAGAAAGCGCTGGGATGACCTGGCGTAATGCGAGCAGCTATGTAGAGTGGACCTGAATGGTAATCACGATTTCAAAGGAATCCGTCATTTCGCTAGTACAGAAAATTCTTAGGTACGCGGTGGATAATCTTGACCAATGACGTAACTTTTTTCGAAAGTCGCGATCAATTTTGAATTCCATCCAATGCTCTCTTCAAACCTGTATTATTATACTCACGAACACGTTATTTCTTGCGATAACGTTTGTCGTAGGTGGAAAGAGGCTTGCCTACGCTGCAGCCTGTTTCTTAAGTTTATTTCGACACGAAGGTGTCTCTTTGTATGTAACGCGGACTCATATTTTCTTATTATACAGAGTGTCTTCGTAATTGATGGTACAAGCGAGTCCAAGTGTAAAGGGTTAAGATAATCGTCTGTTATTGGACCACAGCTCGAGGAACGCGTCGCGTTGCAAACGGCGACCATAAAATATCGTTCGAAACGGACGCTCTTTCCAACAACGAATCAAAAAGCTCGAACAAAACGGACTAATTATCATAACGGTACTCACTCTCGTCGGTCTGTGGCGCCGATAAGATGGCACTGTGCTTTTTCTTGACATCTTCTACGTTCGTCTGGATCCTGTCTATCATTTCGCGGATCTCCTCCACCTGTGCAAAAATTGAATATTGTTAAATGACGCAACGATGTCGGTTTAAAACTGTAAGTGATCCTTTGTCAATTTTTATTTTTTATGTTTCTTAATGTATTCTTGTCAGAGTTATATCTGTCTAATAAAACTGTCCAGTTTGGAATAATTACGAATTGTCCGAATAAGGTCGTGTTCGACTTCATCTCCGTTGGAAAAACCTCACAAACCCATCGATAATACACTCGTTAACACGTTGACTGCCAGACAAATATTCTTGAAACTTTCTGCTAGGATTAAATATTATTTAAACTATCGGAGACTACGTAATAACTACACAGTAATTTCGTACAAATTTGTAAATTCCACTTGAATTTATTTCCTTTGATATTTGACTTTCAGAATTAATTTGTTTAGTTGTTCAGCGAAGACCACTGTCACCCATGTGTGGGTGACATGGCGATCAACGTGTTAAAACATAAATTTTAATTTTTTAATAACGGATGACTCGTTGAGATGCTCAGTCTCTTGGAATAATTTCCCCTCTCCCTCCGAAAAAATACGTATTGATATATAAAAATGATTTGGCTCGAATTCACACCGTATGATATTTAAATAAAAAGTAAGTCTTCGGGAAAATTTGGACCCGATCGGTGGCGCTGGGGTGGAGATATTGTAGAATAAGAATAGTATTCCACGCGGCTAAAATCGCGGAGTATAGCTAGTAACATACGAGGAAAAAAAGAGATATTGAGAGACTTTGATCCTTTGTTAAAAATACATTTCCGTGTTGCACACTCGTTCAGAAGAAAATAATTGCAATTAAAAAATGGATGGAGGAAAGACGAGCACGATAAAAAGATATTCGACGAATTCTACCCGCGTCACTTTATACGGTCCAGGAAAAAAAAGAATCCTACAATCAAACCGCAAGCGTCACGCTCTTGAAAATAATTTTATCGTGCCGGAAGAGTCTAGCGGCGTGGACGATAGCAAATTTGATTTTCGAAGCACGAAAGCAATCATGTAAACCTCAATCTGTACAATTTGCATAATGTTATGGATTAACAATTTTTGATCCGTTGTTGGGGACCAAGAAAAACTTGAATTTGAATTACAAGATGTACAGTGGGTGTAGAATGTATTCGTACACCGGATCAATTTCCCAAAAAACTTTTCTGTGAAATTGTAGTTTATTAACTTTTTTTTTTGTTTTTATAATCAATGATATTTTACATATTCTCGAAAGTCTCTATGATAGATATAGTCCGAACAACATTTACTAGTTAATATAATTTGTGAAATTAACAAAAAATTGCGAAAAGTGGGTAAAAGTATAGAAGCGATAAATATTTGTACGATTCTTATGACGAACCATTTACAGTAGAGTTTGTAACGTGAACACATTAGTTTATTGCCCCGTGCGAATTAGAAAACATCAAATTTCGAGTAAAGTACTTTTAAACAATTGTGCGAATACTTATTGCTTCAACGTTTCTATCGATTAATTTTTTTGTTGTAATCTATCTATTCTAGAGATTTCCGAGAATATGTAGAGAATATGTCATTGTTTATAAAAAATAAGTTAATAAATTACAATTCTACACAGTATTTTTGAAAATTGATCGGTGTACGAACACTTTCTACACCCACTGTAATTACATTTTATACGGAATGAGTAAAGAGTCGTTTATATGATTATTCATGATTACATCCGCGATCCCTGTGAGATTAATCATTTTTCAATCTATCCAAATTTTAGAATTTTTGAAAAATTCATCGACACTTGTCGAAGCATCGGTAAAGACTAAAACGTATCCAAGTTTCGGCACAACTCGAAATGTTACATCAAAGTGTCTGATTTCACCTGGAACGGTCCGCCCTTCAGGCGTAACAAAATGATCGTCCGTTGTTTCCACGGTAACGCTCAACGCGACGTTTCACCTTTATTAGATCCAATATACTCCCACGCATAAAAGCAATTAAAGTTAATGCGTACCCACGCAAATAGCGACCGATACAAATGTCAACGATGTCGACGATGCTATTTACGCACCAGCTTTCTACTTTGAGCTGCCGTGGGCAAGCGTAGGTGGCGTTTTGTCTCGTCGAGTCTCTAATTTCCAACATTTTCCGTTTCCCGATGCTACACGGTATTACTACGCGTAGAAATTAATTCTGTCCCTTTACGTTCGAACATTTATAATCCTGGTTTAAGTAGAAATATTTACTCGTCGTTTAGTTGCGTTCAATTACCAAGCTTCCAAGTTTTCCACCTCATCTACATTCCAATGAATCTACACAACCTAAGACTCAACCCGATGGACACCACGTTGTGTGCTGTACTGGATAGTGTGGATTTTCTATTATGGACGAACGGTAAGTTTACTTTAAGAAAGGACAGAATTATTTTCAACGCCTAGTACATGGCGTTATGAAATTGTTGGCGCGAACGGATGCAAAAGATGGGAGGAAATATCGTTATACAGGGTATCCCAGCCTTAATGATACAACGCTCTAACTCCAAAACAATCGGCCGAATGCAACATTTCAAATATGGAAATTGCATGGTAAAATGGGGCTCATGTTTCAGCGAGAAGGAATTTTTGTTAACTTTGTTATTTAACGAGATGTGATGATCGAGTTTCGTTTTTTAAATGGAACTATATATATATATATTTTTTTTTTTATACCATGCGATAGTACTTTTCAAGACGAATTCATGTAGATTTAATGTATTAGGTGGACTAGAAAGTAATGTCGTTTTTTTCAATTTGAAATACTTGTTTATCACTCACTAGCTCATTGATTTATTTAGGTTTTGGTTGACTAAAAAAAAGAATTTATTACAAATTTGTTTGAATTTAATGTAAAGTAAACGAGATTACTTTCCAGTCTATCTAACATTTACCCGATTTTTATTAGTTTTCAAGCTATAACGCTTCAAAGTTTGCTAATTTTCAAGGAAAAATCTTGGTTCGGTCCCGGGCGGTCCCATTGATGCGGTAAGCACCACGGGGTTCTTGAAATCGATACGGTGGGTCTCGATTGGGATTCCAGGCCCAAGGAAGGAAAGCAGGAAACGTATTACCTGAATTATTGAATAAAATTCTCGGCGCTACAAGTAATGCATCAGTAGCGGTCAATACTTTTCTCGTTTTCCTTCCATGGGCCTGAAATCGCAAGCGTAACCCTCCGTATCGATTTCAAAAACCCCATGGTGCTTACCGCATCGATGGGACCGCCCGGAGCCGAACCAAGATTTTTCCTTGGAAATTAGCAAACTTTGAAGCGTTATAGCTTGAAAACTAATAAAAATCAGGTAAATAGATCAAAGCTTAATGAATTTGTCTTGAAAAGTACTATCGCATGGTATACAAAAAAATATATATATAGTTCCATTTGAAAAACGAAACTTGACCATCATATCTCGTTAAATAAGAAAGTTAACAAAAATTCCTTCTCGCTGAAACGTGAGCCCCATTTTACCATGCAGTTTCCATATTTGAAATGTTGCATTCGGCCGATAGTTTCGGAGTTAGAGCGCTGTATCCCTAAGGCTGGGACACCCTGTATGCTCTGTAAAGTCCAATGAAAATGTTTTTGTTCTAACAAAATATCTGTGATATGTGTGAAATCTTGTGTACTCTTTTTCTTATGATTCATGGGATGATAACTCTATTCGTACACCTGTCGTATGGTGTACACCGTGATTAATAACAGAATGGCGCACCCGCATAACTATCAGTATACAAACACGGTGTACGATTCATCGTAAAATATATTGTTATGTATATCGCTTCTATTACGTAGAAACCAATGAGTTGCCCTTCTGTTTCGTCGTGGTTACGATACAGCGTATAAATACACCATGACGCGGCTAAACGGTTGAGAATATACTTTCAGGGAATCACAGTTACTTCGAAGAACGTGCTTCGGAAGGATGACGTGACAGATAAAGAAGACAGTCTACCAATCATCTGGAACGAATCCGACAGACTTGTTTCCGAAGGACGAATTCTTATTGACCGTTACTTGCACGCAACACGAATCACGATAATTTAAAGTACAATTGAAGTATATTTCACGTTCAACGAGTAATTGTTCAATCGAAAAAAGGGCAGAGTCTTTGTTTGTCATCCATTATTCGAAGAAAATTCTATCTTTGATAGGATTGTAGTTTCAATTTCAATTTTTACTTTATTTGGCTGATTTCATCTGTTTAGATCGTCGTACCTTTGATACCTGTCTTACAATTGTACCTTTACTATCTTTGATAGGATTGTAGTTTCAATTTCAATTTTTACTTTATTTGGCTGATTTCATCT